TATTACCGTGTTTCCAGCACACATTGTTAGTTTTTATTTTTATTTTTATTAAAAATGTATTTTGTGTCTGTCTGCTGTTTTTGTAAACGCAAGCTATTAAAGTGAGAAAAAATTGTGTTTTTGTGACAAGCTGGTGGTGCCTAAAGAAATAGTTTAAATTTATTGTTTGTTGCTTTTCACACGTGGACACGAGTTCTCTCTCTGAGTTTAAATGTATTTTTATGTCTGAATGACTCACAGTTCAGACATCAAGTATCCTAACCAAAACGTAACATTTAGTTGAAAATGGTTCGGTGTAAAGCCTGAACTCTGGCAGATGTCGAACTATTACTTCAGAGCTCCGTGAATAAAATATGGTTTCTCTGCAGCAAATTTAAGAAGTAAAAACTGACTGAAAACATTGGTGGTTCCACTCATTTATTTAACTCAGTTGAGTGGAACCAGTTGACATAATTAGTTTAAGTAAATCCACTACGTCTGGTTTATTTATTTATTTATTTATTTATTTATTTATTTATTTATTTATTTATTTATGAGTGTACGTTTAAAACCCTTCACAATCTTCAACATGCCAACATCAGATCTTTGGTATCTGAATGTCAGCACATTAAAAACAAACACTTGATGGGTTTTTATTCTTCCAATTTCAGAGCATGAAAAGAATCGCCTGTGTAAGAGTGCAGATTACATGAATCTGCACTTCAAAGTGAAGTGGCTCTACAACGAGTACTGCAAAGACCTGCCCTTCTTCAAGAGCAGAGTGCCTGAGTACCCTGCGTGAGTAAACTGGAGTGCTTTGCACACCTCTGGACAAAAAGACGAAACAAATATATTGACTTCAGGACTGCAGATGGCTGATCTCATCCTGTAACTCTGCAGGTGGTTCGAGCCGTTTGTCATTCAGTGGCTGGACGAAAACGAGGAAGTTTCTCGTGACTTTCTGCACGGGGCTTTGGAAAGAGACAAGAAAGATGGGGTAAAAGTTTCTTATATTTTATTGTTTTGACTCCTCGTTAGTCCTCGGAAGAAATGCTGAGTCACTGTTGTTGCTGTAAACCAGGGCTTTTTAACTGAATTACTCAGTGGGCCGCAGTTACTGTAAGCCAGCAGCTCAGGGGCCGGATGTCCAGCAATAAATTAAATACAGTCCACTCTCATTTTTTTATGATTTAAAATCTAATTTAATATTAAATGAGATCATTGGCAGGTAGAYTGCCTGTCACAGATCATCTATATCAGGGGTTCCCAAACTTTTCCATGCCATGGCCCCCCCAAACAGCATTAGCTTCTGGCCGGGGACACCATTTGCAAATCCACAAACAATGCTACAAAATATGTAAAGAAAGATCACTATTCAATAATAATTACATTTATTCAGCATAAGAATTATATGAATGAACATGTTCAAAACACTGTATTAAATTTTACTTTCTGATTTTAGTTGGCCAGGAGTTCTTAGTTTGTGTTTTTGTTTGATTTTTGCAGCAGCAGCAGTGTGCTCCACAGCAGGACTGCTGGTCGGTTYTTTCTGCCTTTTGCTTGTTTGTTTTGCGCTTGCTATGCTAGCTCAATGAGCAAAGCAGCTTGATAAATTTAACTTTCAGATGAGCATGGCAAATAGCTTTTCAATATATTATAATAAATTCTATTTTAAAATAATGTTTGGTAATGATAATGATTTTACGGAGCCCGCCGGGGGTCAGTGGTGAAAAAAGAAAAACAGCCGCCGGAAATCCGTGCGCACGGATTGCTAAACTGAGAGCACAGATTAGTAATCCGTGCGCACGGATTACTAATCTGTGCTCTCAGTTTTTGCAGTCTGTGCGCACGGATTACTAAACTGAGAGCACGGATTACTAATCTGTGCGCTCAGTTTCTGCAATCAGTGCGCGCAGATTGTGTCGACAGGTTGGACGCATGGTGTGTGTTGTTTCTGGTTTTATTGTGAAAGGCTAAACAGGAAGTGAATACTGAGAGTGCGGGGACAACTTGTCGTTTCGGGTTTAGG